CTTGTCTTAATAAACGATGTAACTATCGAAAAAAAACTCTTCAAAAATGAATATAAGCACCATCTCTCACTTAAAATTTTCGCCAGGGATACGTGCATAATTTTGCTCTTACAGCAAAATTGCAAGTCGATTAGTTAAAAGTCATACGACAACCAATGAACTCGTAACTTTTCTTTAAGAGCAGAATTCGCGCATACGTTTCTCTCAAGAATGAATTCAGGGGCCCGATTCTTGAATTTATTCGACGAAGAAATGTATACGAAAACTCTGCTCTGACAGAAAAGTTGAAAGTCTATTGGTTAAAGCCATGCGAGTAGCCAATCAAGTTGCAACTGTTCTGTAAGAGCAAAATTTTCGCATACGTTTCTCCTTCGAATAAATTCAAGAATCGAGCGCCAGATACTTATAAATCATAAATCTTTTCTTCAAGCGTGAACTTGTGAAAAGTGACAATTTTTATCGACAAATGCTGAATTCACTAGTAAACTTCGGGCTTTTCACGAGTTGACACCAGAGAAAAGGATTCGTGATCGCGCTCCAAGAATCAGAGATCCAGCCGCAAGGCGCGACTCGAACGGGGAACGGGGGGGGGGACTCTTGCCCGCGACTGTACCCGGCGCCGCGGTGCGCGTGCGCGGCGCGCGCGGCGCGGGACAGCCGACGTTCGAGACAAACGAGCGGCGCGCACACGGCGCCGATCGTGTGGTGACGGACGCGCTCTTCGCGGCCGCTCGATCGCGACGGGGTGAGAGAGTGAGAAAAAATAAAAAATAATCGAACGGAGGCCCATTGCGGAAGCGTGGACCGCGCCGGGACGTGCGCGACGACAACAACGGCGACGTGTCGATCCGCCCGAACGCGGCCGTGGGTGAAATTGCGGTAATGACGGAGCGCGCCTGAGAGATCGAAACGGACGGAACGGAGGTACGACGTTGCGGAGCGAGCTGGTCGAAAAGCACTCGCGTAGTCGCGTCGCCCGAATCCTCCGACGATGGTCACGCGCCGACTGATAGCTCGGTCGGGATAAACGGACGAGGTATATCGGGGGAATATATCGCGCGATAAGAGACCGAGAGGAACAGCGAGCGGAGGCAAGGTAGGAGACCGCCTTTCGCATCGGCGACGTTTAATTCGCGCGTTGCGGGATGAGACTCCGCCTAACCAACGGCGATGCGCCCGAGATACGACGCGCTTTGCAATATGAATAACGCTTGTTTTTAGCCTAGCCGCTTTCGCACGCAAACGTCAGAATAATTGCCCGCCGAGTGAGAAGTTGTTTTCAACGCGCGCGGCCTAGGATGCCCGTTTCGTGTGTCGTCTCGCTATTCCTTTTATTTCGCGAGTAGGAAGTGAATTGAAGAGAGTGCAGGAGTCGCCGCGTTCGGACAAATTAGTTGGAATTTGCGCATTTTGTAAAGCCAAAGGCCCGTATTCTGTGTCGTCTTTTATCGACAGAAGAGCCTCTAAAAGTGACTTGTAACCAACCGGAAGGCTTGTTGGCCACTTTTAGAGGCGCTTTTGTTGATACAATTATAAAAGAGGGTTCAGAATATGGGCCAGAGTTTAAAGCGCCAGATTTTTGCGAGCTTGTCAATTTTTAATCCTAAAAATTAATTTTTTTGTTTGCGTTCAATTTCGCGGGACATGTAGATTTCCGCCAGTTCCTCTTGTTTATGATTTTGTCCATTTTTCCCTCCAAGACGACCCGCGCTCGACAGTTCGAAAGCCGACAGAATGATCGGGCCGTCGTCAGGGACAGCCGGCGAGGTCGCCGAGAGCCAGTGCTGTGCCTCCTCTAAGCGGAAGATCTTCGAGGACCTGGACATCGACAGCTCGAAGCGAAAGGTTTTTGACGAGCTGGATATCGACAGCCCCAAGCGAAAGGTCTTCGACGAGCTGGATATCGACAGCCCCAAGCGAAAGGTCTTCGACGAGCTGGA